AGCCGGGACCCCGATGTGGGACTCGATCCCAGGACCCTGGGATCATGACCTGAGCCAAAGGCAGACGCTTAACCATCTGAGCCACCCAGGCGCCCAACCTCACTGATTTTCAAAGCCAGATGTTATAGGCGCTCATCTTCCCCATGCTGATCCCCAAGACAGGGGGTGCCTGATGTGGGGCTTGATCCTCTCACTCCTCAGGAAAGACCTCTGCACACCCTCTGATATCCCTTCTCCTTATGGATCGTCACACCCTGGGTTTGGTTCTCTGCCCCTCCTACCCTTATCAATATGGCTTTTCTTTATATCTTTAGCTGTGGAAGAACTGTTCTGCGAGTCCTAAGGTTGTTTTCAGAGGGAGTTGCATTATATGTAATTGTAGCCTCATTGTGTCCGTGGGAGGAGGTGAGCTCAGGATCCTCCTACTCTACCATCTTCCCAAGCTCCTCCTCTAATACCTTACTTAAAAGGATTACCTCAGTAAATTTTAAACCTAGTATTGGAGTAGGTAGTTGTATTTAATAGTAATCTGTGTGAAGACAAATAATTCTGGAGGGCTTTGGTTCTAGACATGGTCCAGTGAGCTAGCTGGGAATGAGGAAAGATGAAGATGTTGGGTAAATCAACTTTCCAAAATAAAAGACAGCACCAACTTACCTTACAAAGGAAAACAAATCTTTAAATGCACATCAACTTTTTGAAAATGCTCTTGAGATCAAATCGCAAAACAGTTGACTTCCATTGTATATCTGGGGGGCACTAAAAAGTGACATAGTTTCTCTCTTTATGATTTATCTTTTGGTACCAGTAATTTTGAGATAAAATACCTCTTACCTCTGTAAAATGAATACTAATATTATCTTGAGATTTTTCCTTTTCCTTAAATTATATCTTTCATCTTTTCCCATGGCATACAAATGAGAAAAAGTTATTTTTCAAACAAGATCCATGTTCATGATTATGCTTATTAAGCATTTATGTGCCAAAGTGTACTAAGCATTTTATATACATCATCTCATCTTTAAAGTTACCTGTGAGGTAGGTAATGTCTTCAGTCTCACAGAAGAGAAAACTGAAGCACATAAAAGTCTATTTACTGGGCGCCTGGGTGGCTCAGTCGTTAAGCGTCTGCCTTCGGCTCAGGTCATGATCCCAGGGTCCTGGGATCGAGTCCCACCATCGGGCTCCCTGCTCGGCGGGAAGCCTGCTTCTCCCTCTCCCGCTCCCCCTGCTTGTGTTCCTGCTCTCGCTATCTCTCTCTCTCTGTCAAATAAATAAATAAAATCTTAAAAAAAAAAAAAAAGTCTATTTACTTGACTATGGTCCCACAATACAGTGCAGAATTGGCATTTGAACCCAGCTCTACCCAGGTCTGTTGTCTTAAGCATTTTAACTCTGGATATACCCTTCTACTTAAATAGAAAACAGTTTAAAGGAAATGTTAACCTTTCATCTAAGGAGAGTATGCCAGTAGTTGATACAGAAATTTATGCAATGTATATGACCCCCTACACATGCCAGGTAGTAGTTTTATTTGTTCAATTTTAGTTTACCAAGATATTAAGCTTATGCTTAACCAGACCAGAGAAATGAAAATTTTCTCTCTTGGGGATGCAAAATCTAGCCTGCAACTAAATATGGTAAAAAATTTTTTAACAGCTGCTAAATATGTCCAGGGAACTGAGTGACTTAAAGAAAAACCTGAAGGAGGCCACTGCGGCCATTGCAGCTGACCCTCTCTATATAGAGGGTGCCTGGTCTGAGCCAACCTTCACATCCACTGAAGCGGCCATCCAGTCCATGCTGGAGTGCCTGAAGAACAATGAACTTGGCAAGGCTTTACGGCAAATCAGGGAATGCAGGTAACTCTACTATTTCTTTTAGAAACGGTGAAAAGAAATGCATGCCTAATAGTTAATCACTACAGAAGGGACATCTAGATATTTTATACACATCCTTCTCAGATCTTTACCATTACCATGCCAGCTATATCAGATTTCAGAACTTACATGTTTAAAATATAGGTGTTACTTCTGGTCTTTTGTCATACCTGTAATGTTGAAACAGTTCAAATTATGTTGGGGTATATTTTGAAAACTATTATTTGGATGTATCCTTTTCCCCTTATATTTTCATAGTATAGTCACATTCATTGGAACCAGAATGCATAGCAAATACATGTTTTATGATTATCAAATTGTGTTCTGATATTTAGAAGCTTTAGATATTTTCATCAGAACCAATAATATTCCACCATCAGTTATGGTGATGTTTGTAAAACTCCAAATATACTAAAAGCCACTGCATTGTATGCTTCAGATGGTTGAACTGTATAGTAGTATGTGAGCTATATCTCAAAGCCAGGTTATTTAAAAGTAATATTCTTATACTTCAGAGGCTCATAACCTCTCAACTTTGTAACCAATAGTGCCTCTAATCTATGCTGTTTTTTGACTGCAGAAGTCTGTGGCCCAATGACATCTTTGGAAGCAGTTCTGATGATGAGGTCCAGACACTACTGAATATTTACTTCCGTCATCAAACTCTGGGACAAACGGGTACTTATGCATTGGTGGGGTCTAACCAGAGCCTGACCGAAATCTGCACCAAGCTGATGGAGCTGAACATGGAGATCCGGGACATGATTCGCAGGGCCCAGAGTTACCGGGTCCTCACTACTTTTCTTCCAGACTCCAGTGTTTCTGGCACTAGTCTCTGACAGGAGCCTCCCATCCCCCATGGGTTCCAAGCTGGGGGTGCTGTCATGCTGGGGTGACGTCATTCAGTGTCTTTTCAGCCTTCAGAAGGCTTGGTCAGACTGTTCTCCCTCTTGTTACCTGTAGGACTTTTTCTAAGAAAAACAGGATGACAGAACTTCCAACGTGTAGCAATACCATCAGAACCAAGGTAGCATAGAACATTCTGGAACAGACTCCATCTGTTATGCTGTGTGGCACAAAGGTGTTATTTTACTGAGCAGATGCAACTCACTACTGAAGAAAGTGACTTCCATTGCATACCAAAGCTGACTACACTGAACAATACCTTCCTTTCTAGAAACAATTTTAGATTGGCAAAAGTGCAATGTTTTCTTCACTAAAAAAATATTTTATATTCTAAAACTTGTACATTCTTTTATTTTTCCTTTTCTTTTTTTCTTTTTTCTTTTTTCTTTTTTTGGTGGGCTGAGGAAGGGGCAGGCAGAATGAAGCTGGCCACTGAAAACTGTAAGACAGTCAAAAGCTGACAGCCTGTTTATGTGAAAAGGGAATTGTAAATGGACAATTTAATATACACTGTAATTTGAATACAATTACTGTATCTAAAAGGAGCTGCTATGAAGTACCTTTCTTATGTTGCTAGGCTACTGTTTCCGAAAGCCCTGAATCTCTGCAGGAGTCTGTGATTAGGACCCTAGCACCAAATATGGTCCAGATAGACCTTTTTGTAAGGGTCTTGGCTGCTTTTTACTAGAAGGTTGCTTATATGAGCATATTTATACTACAAAAGGATGAGTGTTAATTTTAACCAACTTTGCCATTTTGTAGAAAAAGTTAAAGAAATTCACATTATAAACTCCAAGTCTTTTCACCTGTCACGCATGCATATTTTAATATCCATCTGGATAGCCACAAGTAGAATCATAAAGATAAACTATGAGTTGTCACTTTGTTACTTAAGAAATGTCATATTTTATTTGTAACATATATGTAAAGGGCCATTCTTAAGTTTTCTCCTTCAAATTAATGCTGTCAAGTGTTAGCTGTGTGCATGTAAGCCGGTTGCACATCAGAAACATATTCAAAGTTGATCTATGTAACTTATTCACTCTGTAAATACATTTAAAGTTTTTGTGATGTAATCTTGGTTGATATTCTATTCAGAACTTCCTTTAGACTAAAAAAAAGACAAAATACATATTGACCATGGATTTTATTTCTGGTTTAGAGATCTTTGTCTTTGGCACACATTTACAGTTTTGCATGTGGGTTGCCACATGATAACCCCAAGGGGCACCACACATATACATTCCATAATTGGCACTCACTGGGGCTAACCAGGGACTCTGTGAAGCAGGAACTGTTACCTCTTTGGAAGTGGACACTAAATTAAGACTGTGATCTTTAACCAGCTCTCCCTAATCAACCAAAGAGAGAAATCAGAAGAGTGAGCGCTCTACTTGTCAACACCTATCATTAGATTGTCATCCTTAAAATTGTGAAACAGACTCTATAAGAAAAATTAGGAGTTTTAATTCTGTCACCATTGCTCATCTATCTCCACCCCACACGAAAAACAGGGACATGACACACACAACAATCTGTTACTGTCTTCCTACTCATATTTACCTAGACTAACAAATATAACTTACTTCTCTAACATACAAAAACTAAATCTCAAGTAGTAATTTTCTAGAAATAGCCTGTAACAGGGGAGTATGAGCCAGGATTTTTTTATGTTACCAAAGGTACAGCTATTAATTGTAAGAACTTTCTTGAGAGGGGGGAGGGTTCAAGATGGCAGCATAGGAAGATCCTGAACTCTCCTCCTCCAATGGACACAAAAATCTACAATTACATTCAGAGTGATTCCCATAGAAGGGGACCCAGAAACTGGATGAACAGAGCCTTTGCAAAAAAGAAAAAGCACTGAGACAGAAGAGGCAGAGACATGGTCTCGCTAAAGAACACACATTCCTGGCACAATGTTCCATGGTCAGGAGAGTTCTCAAAGTTATTAACTTTTCCCTGAAATTTAAGATCTGTATCAGGAACCCTAACCCTTACATCCTGCACAGGAGGGAGGAGTCCCCAAAACACATGACTATGAAAACCAAAAGGGCGTATGTCCAAGAAAATTATAGAACGCAGGGAAAGGAAAACCCATTCTTAAAAAGGCTCATGTACAGACTCACTCAACCCAGAAACCAGTGTACAAATAACCAAAAGTGCACACACCACAAGTGAAAGAGACCCACTTAATGAATTTTGGAGTACCTGCCAGAGAGGAGACAGCTGGGGCTCTCCATGGAGACAGAGACACTGGCAGCAGCCACTTTTTTTTTTTTAATTCTTATGTTAATCCCCATACATCATTAGTTTTAGATGCAGTGTTCCATAATTCATTGTTTGTGCATAACACCCAGTGCTCCATGCAGAATGTGCCCTCCTCAAT